AAATTTTGACTTCTCAATATACATTATAGTTGATTTTTGTGACCCTTTACCCATTCCTCTTTCACTCTCCCTCTCTCCCCTCTCCCCACTACATCATATCTGTTCACTTTTCTTAACAAGTTCAAGGAATTGTTGTGATTGTTGTGTCTTCTTCCCCCCACCGACTTTTTATTTGCTTGTGTGTTTATTTATTTATTTATTTTTAGCTCCCACAAATAAGTGAGAATATGTGGTATTTCTCTTTCTGTGCCTGACTTCTTTCACTTAATATAATTTTCTCTAAGTCCATCCATGTTGTTGGGAATGGTAGTATTTCATTCTTTTTTATAACAGAGTAGAATTCCATTGCATAGATATACCACAGTTTCCTTAGTTAGGATGGCTAATACCGAAAAGAATGAGAATGACAAGTGCTGGAGAAGTTGTGGAGAAAAAGGAACCTTCCTACACTGTTGGTGGGACTGCAAAATGGTGCAGCCTTTATGGAAAATGGTATGGAGGTTCCTCAAACAATTGCAGAGAGATCTACCATATGACCCAGCTATCCCACTGCTGGGAATATACAGAGAAGAATGGAAATCATCATGCTGAAGGGATACCTGTTCTCCAATGTTTATTGCAGCATTATTTACAATAGCCAAGAGTTGGAACCAGCCCAAATGTCCATCATCAAAGATGGCTTTTGTTCATTTGTTTATTTATTCATTTTATAACAAATGTGGCCTATTATACATTGCATAAAACAAGGTGAGTTGGAGGTTAAATAGCATTCTCAAACAATAAACAGGAATAATTTGGAAGATATAAATGCATCAATAATAATTAATATAAAACTGGAGATTATTTTGAAACAAGAAAATATGAGCCAGGCAAACTCTGAATCTATGTGGATCACTAAATAGCTGTGATTTCGGGGCTTGACAGGTATTTCATGCTGGCCAGGCGTTCCGGTTGGGGCGATATCCAATACATTGGCACCTGCTCGGAGACTTACAGTTTAAATCCTATGTAAGAGGCTGTGCAATTCACCAGGCCTATAACAGGGCTGTTACTATCCATAACACACACCACCTTCTCATTGAGAGGAATATTATATATGACATCAAAGGAGGAGCATTTTTTATAGAAGACGGTATTGAATATGGCAATATCCTGCAATATAACTTGGCAGTATTTGTACAGCAAAGCACTAGTCTACTGAATGATGATGTGACCCCAGCTGCATTTTGGGTAACCAACCCGAACAATACCATACGACACAATGCAGCTGCTGGTGGCACTCACTTTGGCTTTTGGTACCGAATGAACAACCACCCAGATGGGCCATCCTATGACCGAAACATTTGCCAAAAAAGAGTTCCTCTTGGAGAATTCTTTAACAATACTGTTCATTCTCAAGGTTGGTTTGGATTGTGGATCTTTGAAGAATATTTCCCCATGCAAACGGGATCTTGTACTTCTACAGTGCCAGTACCTGCAATATTTAATTCACTTACTACTTGGAATTGTCAAAAAGGTGCTGAATGGGTCAATGGAGGTGCTCTTCAGTTCCACAACTTTGTGATGGTAAATAACCATGAGGCTGGAATCGAGACCAAGAGGATTCTGGCTCCTTATGTTGGAGGCTGGGGTGAAACCAGTGGGGCAGTGATTAAAAATGCCAAAATAGTTGGGCATCTTGATGAACTGGGAATGGGGTCTGCATTTTGCACATCAAAAGGCCTGGTTCTACCATTTAGTGAAGGCTTGACTGTATCATCTGTACACTTTATGAACTTTGACCGTGTCAACTGTGTAGCTTTGGGAGTGACATCCATCACTGGAGTTTGCAATGACAGATGTGGAGGTTGGAGTGCAAAATTCGTTGACATCCAGTATTTTCACACATCAAACAAGGCCGGCTTTCGATGGGAACACGAAGTGGTGCTGATTGATGTTGATGGTTCACTTACAGGTAACGTTATTTTTTAATTTGTGATCAAATACATTGGAAATATGTTTGTGTTAACACAGAATTGAATTGTTAAAGCAGACTCATGTGCATCACAGATCTTATGCAGTAGCAAACTGTACTCATGATTTAAAGGATATAGGCAAGCACCAGACACAGATGAGATACTCTTTTCTGGAAGAGCCACAAACTGTCAGAAGCAGCCTCCAAATGTGTTCTCTTTCTGCTGCATTTGCACTTTCATTTTGAATTAACAGAAAATTTTGAGCAATATTTATGGAAATATTGATCACAAAAGGAGGCCAGTTCAGTTTTAGAACACCTCCATTTTATACTCAGTTAAATGCACAGATAAGAAACTGCTCACATGACAACCTGAATTCTCCAGCCAGTCGTGCCTCATAAACATGTAGACTGCAGGTATATTTACACAAGCAATATAGGCAGACTGGATAAATCCTTGCTAAAATACTTCAAAGACAAGTAAGTGACAAGCCTACTATTAGCCCGTTTATTCCGAACTAAATTCTAAATTTGGAATTTGTTCATAGAGTACCAAAAGGGAACAAAAGATTGTAGGTTAAAATTATTTAGCCTTTTAAGTTTAGAGTATGTCACATTCTTCTGAAAATATTCATGATTTCTAGAATTTAACATCTTTACAAATTGTTAATGATACAAAATTGTCTAAATAAGATAGCATTAGAAAGAAGAAAAAATACACAAAAAGCAAAAAAAGATTAATGAAACAAATAAATAAGATAGAAAGATGTGTGTGTTGAGGGGTACTGAATAACACTTAGTAAGAGAGAGCCAATTGGCAGGTAAACCAAGTGATACTAATGATTTATTTTTGAGAGACCCTTTGAAAGAAGACTCATCTCAATATTCAAATGAACTGAATTCTCAATCACAGTTGTTGACTTCTGTTTCCTATTCTAATTGTGGCTTTAAAGGAGAATATTTGGATGGTTTTTGGTTTTTATTGGTTTACTTTGTTCAGCTTAGGTTTTTAGTGTTAGTCGGTAGTCTATAGGTTAAGAGTACAGGCTTAATGGTCGGACTACCTGGATTTGAATCCTTCTGAGTGTCCTTGACCAAGTTACTTATCCCACTTCCCATCTGCTACTTTGACTCTTGTGGGTGCTTCAGATCCTGTGTTTCAGCTACATCCACAATAAAATTCCTGACCAGTCCACTGCAAAGCTTCTGTATGAGGTCCTCTTACCCCCTTGAAAGAAACAAACAAAAAAAAATTACTACGACTGTTGGATTTTACTGGTGGTACTGTGCGTCACAGTACCTATGTATTGCAGACTGGTTTTTTAGTTTTCCAATGTGAAATAGAAAACATGCTATTTGTGTTTGTTTTCTAGGGCACAAGGGATACACCGTCATTCCGCACAGCTCTTTGTTAGACCCTTCTCATTGCACACAAGAAGCCGAGTGGAGCGTTGGGTTCCCTGGATCAGTCTGTGACGCCTCAGTCAGCTTCCACCGTTTAGCATTCAACAAGCCTTCCCCAGTATCTCTGCTTGAAAAGGATGTGGTTCTCTCAGACTCTTTTGGTAAGTGGAATATAATAGTTTAAACCCTTAATTTAAATATATCCTCCTAAACTTTTGTCATTATCTCCTTGTGTTGTTACTTGATGGTTTGAACGTTACAAAAAGCATGATATTTCTAGCAGTCAGAGTTCAGGCAGGAAAAAAATAACATACTCAAAGTGGGTGTCTGAGGTGGAGCAAAGACAAATACCCACCAAACTGAGAAGGTATCTTGAGACTGAAAAACAAGGTAGGCACTTCCGTACAGTAAAGCTAAAAATTATAATTAAGAGGGTAATTAGTTACAGGGTACCAGATCAGGCAGGTGGCAACCCAGGCGCACACACAAAGTTTCTTCACTCCACCTCCTGGTGGAGCCCAAGTTTATATATAGGCAGTTCATACAAAGCAGTGGAAAAGCCAAGAAGCAATTACTAACTAAGGAACAAGGTAACATCACTACTTATCATACTGATTATTATTTTGGGTGGTCTTGTGATACAGGGAGCAGGACCAACTGTTACCATACCAGCACTTAATCATTAGGTCCCTTTTTCATAGTCGGCAGGCCATTTTCACCTATTATTTTAACTATTTTACTCCTAGTTACTGTGTAACTTCTGTGGACAGGGTTCACATAAAGGATTTGCAAGTGTTGAGGGCTTTCAGGATGGAGCAAGTCATGCTCGCAGTCTCCTGGTGGGCGTTTGAGGAACATTGAATAAATGTATGGGCCAGAATAATATTCTGCTGATCAAGGAACCTCTAGACAATATTATAACAGAGAGCTTGGAGCAAGACAGTAAAAATAAACCACTGTTCTCACCACTGAAGGCAAACGTTTTTAATTATCCTTGCTGATTGAGATGGAATGGGTGAGCATTTGCTAGGTCACTAGGTGCATACCACCTGCCAGGGACTGCTGATTAACTGATTTGTTCCAGAAAAGATACCATACCTGGAACACCAGTTATGCTTGACATTATTACCTAAGTTGCATTAATTTACTGTCATTATTCATGCTCCATCTGGCACTAGAACCCTTCAAACAAGCAAGTTAAATTGGGATGTAGTAGGAATCCTGATCCTCACATCTCTCAAATCTTTGATTGTGGCACTAATCCCTTCAAGGATTTGGAATTGCTTTTAGTGTATCTTCTTGGCAAAGGGTTGGGGAGCCATTGTTCCTAGATTATCCACTTGGTCCTTCCCACCTGTTGTGCCCTCACTCCATTTTAGAAAACCAATGTGGAAATTATTCCAATTACTAAGCATATATATTCCCACTGTACTGATCTAGCCTATCCTGACTGACTCTGATCTATATATCTGTCGCTTTATCATTTCTTCCTTCCATTTGTCCATCTATCCATTATCTATCTAGGAATTATTAGCTAAAATATGTATCTACAATGAATCCATTCCACATACACTTGTTCTGATGCACTGCAGATTCTGGAAAATAGAAAAAGCATTGATGAGTCAAAGATATACTAAACGCTTCACCATCAGATATAGTTTTCTACATTTTCCTGGGTAAATCGGAATAATGCAGGTTCCTGATGACAATATGTAAAACCACACTTATCAAGGTCTAATATAAACACATAATTAGGAATCATAAGTGTAGAAAGAGACTTTATCAACTGAATCCAGTGCACTTATTTCTCCTTTTATAGTGTCAGTATTTACCAATCTTCTTCAACATATTGCAAAGACTTTCATAATGTTACTTTAAGACACTATGAATTTCACAGTAGGTCGCATTTGACTGCTAATATTTTATCTCCATTAAAGTCAAATAAAATTATTTACTACTTAAAAAAACAGAAAAAGATCCCTTGTTTTGATTGTATGTGCATGCTAAGAAATCAAAAGTTTAAAAAGTATACTAAATCAGTGGGAAATAAGGTTTGGTATAACTTTATCAAATCATTATATATCTTTATCAAAGCATCTCATACATGATGGTATATCTTTATGTAAATATATGCATAAAGTTAGATTAGGTGGCAAATTAACTTGAGACACTTACACTTAATGATTTTATTTTTTAAAAATATCGACATTAAAGAGCTTATATTTCAGTCCAAGATACTTAAAACCAACATATTCAAAATAAGTGCAGCTGAAAAAATTTAAGAAAAACACAACTAAGAGAAATGAAAATTAGTTTTACTTATGAAACTGAATTATTAAGAAATGTCAGCATAAAGTATAATCCCACTCATCAGAAAACTTCAGTGGAGTTTCATTCTTCCAAGTATAGGATAAAATTTTAGAGATGTTAGGTGATTTTAATCAGCTCTTATATAAGTTAGCTATCCCTTCACGACAGAGTATCCCAAAACTAAATAGTTTAAATGTACAATCATTTGTTTTCACTCACATGCCTGAGTCAGCTGGGTGGCTCTCCTTTAAAGTGAGGACCCAAAAGCTCTGCTCTTTGCCAAGGGTTGAGCTCGGGTTGCTCCATTCTGGTTCTTAGGTGGAGGGAGAGCAGCTTCCTGGGGGAGGCTCTTCTCATTGTGCTGGCCCCACTGAGTAAGCATTTTTGAGCCTTTGCTAGCATCAGTTCTGTTAATGTCCCATTGGCCAAAAGAAGTCACCCAGTATCAACAGAGTAGGGAAGTCTACTTTGCGCCAAGGAGGGGAGAGGAGTGGGTGTTTGCTGAATAATGATCCAAATTATCATAGTTCTTCTCATACTTCTAAAGTTTTTTGGTAGGACAAATTTTTAGTGCTTCTTTTAAAGCTTATACTAAATCATAAAGCATAGGAATTAATGAATTTGTTCCCCCCTTGATATTGGAATTTTTTTTGCCTTATCCACCTCCCCCCAAAAATGAATGACAGTTTATTTTACAATCTTACTTCTAGCTTCTCCCTCCTAAGTTTTTAAGGTAAAAGGTTGCTAATTTAACAAAAATCTGGTCAGATGAGAAAAAAGAGAAAGGAGAAAGAAAAATAGGGGCAGTTAATCAAAGACCTTTTCTTTATGTTGTAAGATCTTTTCAGATCATCTACGAAAGTTATCAGGCACCCTCTCATGACCAAAGCATTACTAAATTATATAGTTTTTCCCATAACAGGTAGTTCAGATTCCAAGTTTGCTGTTCACAAAATTTAGGTTTCATTGCCAGCATTAAGTAATAGGCCTGGTTGTATCCTTGCTTCTTAAGAGCCCTAAATCAAAACTCCATTAAAGTCAAATAAAATTATTTACTACTAAAAGTTAGCACTTGTCATACAGATTTTGATTAGCTCAACAGATATAGGAGAATCTAATAAATAATCAGAACTTACATTTGCACATACTGTAAATCAAGTATTCTGAAGAATTAATTCTTAAAAGAATGGAAATGGAATTATATTTAGATTAATGATATTTATAGAATTGTATTAATATGTTTAAGCACTTTTGTCTTAATAGTCATAATCTCATTATCATATTTCAAGTGTATCTTTTCCTAAGGAATAAAGGCTCCATCTTCATCCCAAATTCCAAGTAAGAAAACATTTTATGTTCCAGTTAAATGTAATATTAAACATTTGGGCCTCAGTTAAATAAAGACGTTGAGAACATAAGTAGTGAGATGCTGTACTGACCTCCTTAGAGACTACCATAGATTAGACCAATATTGCACATCCGCACTTGTTCATAAAAGGAGGAATTTTCTAGAGCTAGAGATGACTGTTACTTGCTTGTTTTATGTTCTCCTACAGGTACAAGCATTGTTCCCTTTCAGAAGAAACGACTGACTCATATGTCTGGATGGATGGCTCTAATCCCAAATGCAAATCATATTAACTGGTACTTTAAAGGTGTGGATCACATAACCAACATATCATACACATCAACATTCTATGGATTTAAGGTAAACAAAGAGCTATAAAATCCATCTTCTAATAGTTATAATTGCTTGTTACTCAAATGCAGCCTGCACTCTTGTCCTTACTCACACCCATTGTTAGGCCCAGAATGTCCTTGCCTCTAAAACCAACCTATTAAAATCCTGCACACCC